GGCGTGGGCGACCCGGCGTCGTGCGGCCGCACCGCGCTGCTGGCTCGCACGGCAGACACGGGGCTGCTGCCACTGCTGCTGGGTCCGGCACTAGCGGCCGGAGCGGCAGCTGGTCTAGCGGCGCCCGGCCTCGCCAGGCCAGGCCTTGCGGCCGCCGGAGCAGCAGCGGGGGCAGGCGCCGCGCGCGCTGCTGCCGCCGGTTGTAGAGCGGCCGCTTGGGACTTTGCTGCGTCGATGAGGGGCACCACGGTGTTCCGCGAGGCAGCCTTGAGCTGGTTGGCCTGCTCCAGCACGAATTTGTAGCCGGCCCGGAGGACAATGTAGGGCAGCGCCGACTGCGCCGCTTTCCGCACGGCGGCGAGCTTGTCGTCAAGGGACTGGACGGCGGGCAGCGCCAGGCCCGCAAGGTCCATGCCCTTCTCCGGCATGTGGCCCTCGAACCACGCGCCGAGCCAGGCGAACAGCTCCTGCCGCAGCATCGGGTTGGCGATCTTGGAGCTCTCCAGCACGCTGCAGAAGCCGGGCACCATCGGGCCCACTCCGATCTGCTCTGCGATGGCGGTCAGAGTGGCCACGGCCGAGGCACGCACGGGCGCCTTGGCGTCCGAGAGCACCTGCGTGATGGGGCCGACCAAGATGCGTGCGTGGGGCTCAAAGTTCTTGTTCATGCCCGTGGCAATCTTGGCGGCGACGTCGAGTGCCAGCGTCTTGCACATGATGTTGCTGTCCGAGTACCGCAGCTTGAGCGCCGCGGCGAGCTCAGTCATGTTGCCCTTGAGCCGGGTGTTGGCCGTGACGATGCCCTGGATCTCCTCGAGCGCCTCCTTGCGCTCTTTCCAGTTGGCATCGCTCATGCGGGCGACCGTCGAGCCGTGCACGAGCTTGTCGATGTCGACGCGGGGCACCAGCTCGTCCAAGAGGTCCTCGTCGATGCCACCGCCTGCGCCGCCCGCAGCTCCATCATCACCCCCTCTTCCACCTCCTCCTCCGCCCGCAGCCGCTTCGGGGAGCCGATTCTCGTCGCTGAACCTCGTCGGCGCAGGCGGCGGGTTGCTAGCGGCCTGTTCGATCTCGGCCTCGATCGTCGTCTTAAGCTGCGGGTTGAGGTCGCCGAGGAAGCTGTTTAGGGTGGTGCCCAGGAACCTTGCCAGCGTGCCGATGGCCTTGGTCGCGTTGGTCCGCACCCCGGCGTTGGCCGACTTGAGGCAGGTGACGAGGTAGCCAATCAGGCCGCGGACATCGACCCCGGCCGTGCCAAACTCGAGCAGGCTCTGGTCGACCCACAGGATCGAGTCGGCGATGGCCTTGGGCGCCTTGAGGCCCGCCAGCGGCCCGAGGGCCTGGTTGAGCAGGAAGCCGTACGACGTCTTTTCCGCGTACAGGCCGAGCGTCTCGGCCGCCGGACCTTTGAGCTTGATGTCGCCCAGCTTGTCGCACAGCGGCTGCACCGAGAGGGCAACCGAGGGCCTCCCAAACGTCGGCGATGCCTCGGCCAGCTTCCGCAGCGCCTTGTACACCTCGGCCAGCACCTGGAAGTTGCTCTCCTTCCAGCCCGGCTTCTTGCCCAGCGCGCGCACGATGATCTCGGCCTCGACCTCGTCGACCTCGCGCTCGAGCCAGGCGTTGAAGTCGGTCATGCCGGCCAGCCGGTCCTTCCAGACGCCGCTCGCCAGCTGTGCGGCGATGCCCTCCGGGATCAGGTCGGCAGCCCGCGCCTCGGCATCCTCGGAGTTGAAGCGGTACTTGACCGGCTCGGTCGCCGAGGCCGGCT